TTATCAACAATGGTCTAAAAATAGATTATTCTAATAATGGAGAAAATATAGATTGCTGCACCTTTTTAAGCACTTTAAAGTGATTGCTGATTACTTAGGAAGTATATTGTAAAATATTGTATATTGTAGCTTGACACCTTTAGCAGGTGTGGACAATGGTTGAGGAGGTTTCCCATATCTATTTTTAGTATCACGTGGCGTAATATTGATATGAAGAACTCTAAATTATAGCAACTGAAAACTTGTAGAAAATCTTATATAGCTATGAATATTGGATAGAACTGGGCCGTAGTTATTACCAGTTAAATCGCACGTATCAGCTGTTTGTCACGTGACTTGTATAAAAATAGAATTGTTAAGCTAAATGAGAGAAATGGGGATAGTACAAGGGCATACGCTTGTTTTTCAAGAAAAGAATTTATACACATTAAAAGAGGTTTATTTCCTTTACCCAAAAAATGCTGGGAGCTAGTCAGTGCTGTTTGCGAAGTACTAAAATATTTGCCAAAAATGGTTATAATAGCTAAAAATTTCCACTTTGCTTAAATTCTGTTATAAATAAAAATAATGCTATGCAGACCAAGATCATCTCCCAGCACTTTTCAAAATAGACACTATATGAGCCATAAATATTCCAAATTTCAGCTCAAACAAAATAGTCTATGCTCTTGCACTTTTGATGTAAATCACGAATACGCTCCTCGTTTTAACGATACTCTCTACATTCCTTATCTCCGTGCAGCCTCAATGCTACTAGATAAATTCATATTCTATACAGATTGTATTAAATAATTTTTTTTCTTTTAGTTTTAATGATTAGGTTTAAAGACTAGCAATTGTATCATACTTAATTAAGCATTCTTTTAATTATTAAACCAGCGAATCTAGTCCCCTGGATCACCTATGCTGAGTCATGTCAAGGCTGATGACGTCATTTTTGACGAAAGACTTTCTTCTGTTACTCGACTGTATTGCTATCAAGTATTGCAATTTCACCAGATTTTATAAAAAATCGATAAAATAAATAACTTCAAGTTGTTATTTACGCATAATCATATCTTTAATTAATTTTTATAGCTTGTTAAATTTCAATGACGTCACAATTAAACTTCCAATACGATGTACATGGAATGTGAACTCTGACCTTCCTTAAAATAGCTGAGTATCGGTTATCTCAAAATCTCTCTGGATGAGAGTGGCAGAGTATGTCTTCTGAAAGAAAATATTCCTCTGAAAATTGATGTATTCTACAACTTGTAAAGAAAATACGGGAAAATACACAAGATAATGACGTCACAATTAGCATTTAAGAGGTCATATAAGAAAAACGATTTGTGTATTTTTACTGCAGGGAATTCTTATGATTCGGATAGAGTGAATTTTGATTTCCTATATCACTTTCATATTTAAGAAAAATACAGGGCTTTAAATATTTTGTATTGAAACTGTACCTTGTTCTTTGTTTCTATAAATAGAATATTAAGGCCTCATTGATTTTGCATATTTCGAATATAAGTAGAACTGAATATCATCATTGTTTTTATGCTTGTTAGTTAACGGAAACTACCGATATTACATATATTTTATACTTATCAGTCACATGATCATTTTACTAGGAAAACTTGATTATACTCATGACATATTGAGTACAGCAGTATATTTCGTAAATATGTTATCAATGAAGCTCCTTTGATCCTTTTTATCATTTTTCTTCTTTTGCTAAGAAGTTACTACATATAAGTGGATGTGCTATAAATAGAAAAGAGAGCCCCCCGTTCAGATAGTGTGCATTTCACTAAATAGTTTGGAAGTATTTGTCAGTCACACAACATCTACCGTGTATAACATTGCTTTTGCTTTCCAACATTGCCTGAAAAAGTACAATAACCCATATTTTCTCGATTATTCCAGGAATCTTTTTAGACCATTGTTGGTATAAAAAAAAAGGTCAGTCCTAAACATTGTAGCAATTCCTGTACAAACAAGTGTTCATTTGGAAGGCATATTGTAAAAAGCTTTATAAGACAATTTCTAGGAAGATTCAAATTAGCGAAAAACTGCCATTTTTTCCTAATATTTAGAGACAAATATATATTTCGCCATGTGATACCAAAAATAGAATTGGGAAACCCCCTCAACCATTGTCCACACCGACTAATGGTGTCCAGCTATAGTCATTAACATCTCAAATTTTACAATGTACTTCCTAATTAAGCAACAATGGCATCTACAAAGTTCCTAAAAAGGCGCAATAATCTACATTTTCCCAATTATTCGAGTTATCTATATTTAGACCATTGTTGCTATAAAATGAAACAAGAGTCCATCCTCAATACTGTAGCATTTATTTTACAAACATGTGCATTCTGGAAGCATGTTGTAGAAAGCTTTATATTTGTTAGGAATTTTTATACGAAGCTTCCAATTAGAAGAAAAATGTCATTTTTCCTAGTTTTCAGACATATCTATATTTATCCACCTGATACAAAAAATGGAAAGGGGAATTCCCCTCAACAATTATCCATACCACCTTGTGGTATCCAGATCTTGTCATTAACATCTAAAATTTTACAAAATATTTCCTAATTATGCAGCAACTACATCTTAAAGTGCCTGAAAAGGTACAATAACCTTTAATATTTTCTCAATTATTCGAGTAATGTATTTTTAGACCATTGTTGCCATAAAATGAAACAAGAGTCCATCCTAAATATTGTAGCAAATTTTGAATAAACGCATGTACATTCTGAAAGCATATTGAAGAAAGCTTAATATTTGTTAGGACTTCTTATATGAAGCTTCCAAATAGAAAAAAAAATGCCATTTTTCCTAATATTCAGAGACATATCTATATTTAGCCACCTGATACTAAAAATAGAAAGGGGAATTCCCCTCAACAATTAGCCATACCAGCTAGTGGTATCCAGGTCTTGTCATTAACATCTAAAATTTTACAAAATATTTCCTAATTATGCAGCAACTACATCTAAAAATTGCCTGAAAGGGTGCAATAATCTACATTTTTTCAATTATTCGAGTAATCTATTTTTAGACCATTGTTGCCATAAAATGAAACAAGAGTCCATCCTCAATATTGTAGCAATTTTTGAACAAGCACATGTACATTCTAAAGGCATATTGTAGAAAGCTTTATATTTGTTAGGACTTCTTATATGAAGCTTCCAATTAGAACAAAAATGCCATTTTTCCTAATATTCAGAGACATATCTATTTTTAGCCACCTGATACTAAAAATAGAAATGGAAATTCCCCTCAACCGTTGTCCATACCAGCTAGTGGTGTCCAGCTCTTGTCATTAAAATTTCAAATTTTACAACATTCGTTCTAATTATGCAGTAATGACAAGTAAAACTTTGCCAAAATTTGATTTTTCACATTTTTCTAAAATTTATCTATTTATAGATACATGTTACTAAAAATAGGAGCAAAAGCCCACTTATGTTTTTTCATGAAATGACACTACTTAGTCCCTAGTATAATTACACACATAAGATTTGGTAAATTTCCGCGGAAAATTTTTCTTATTGAGCCTCAAAGATCGCAAAAAATTCCAATTTTCCCATTTTTCAAATTTATAGAAACCATGTCATTTTGCATGACCTTTTTCTTACAGGAAGAATATTTCTAGAATAAACGATTATATGCTCTGTGTACCTTGAAAGGTCATGTTATCAAATGATCCAATGATTTTTGTTAGAGTGTATTAGATACCGACAAATATTCATTTACATTTCCTCAATTTTCATGTTTTCATTTAGTCAAAATGGGCCAAAAATGGCCGAATTCAATGGATCCGTCTCCATGGCAACCAAGTGCACGTGTGGAACTTCCGACACCATTTTTACTAGTTTTGTACCAAGACACACCTACGGTAAAAATTTCATCGAAATCTGAGACATGTCGTTTCCAAGCCCTATAGTAAATTCGTTGGTGCTTACAGAGAATTCGTGTTATATCGCAAGAGTACTTATCAAAACGTAGATCCTTTCTAATCGAGAACTCGGATCGTGATATTCGTGACTCGGATCGTGATATTCGTGACAGATCAAGGTCCTTTTTCGACTAAATCTTGATAATCCTATTGGAACGTAATTCATCTTATCCGAACGGTAGTCAGATCGTCAGAGATCGCATCACATGAAATGTATCCATCGTGGCCATAGCGCATAAAAGCGTATCTAAACGTATGAACTCGCACTTATACGCATCTCTTCGTATCTTGGAATAAAATTCAATAAAAACTCTGTGATCAACTACGACTGATCTACCGTGACGTGCGTAACTTACCGCACAACAATGGGAACGTAGCATTAACGGCATTCTGCATTTACTCTAATTTCAGTTTCAAAGTGAAAAATAAAGGTCAGTAGAGCCAATGAGCACCTAGTTTGAAATTACTAGTATTCCAGTGTGGTATTTTTTTTAACAATCGCAACTTCTCGGGCCCTTTTGTAAAATATATCCGGGAAATATATCCGAGGCTGCCGTGGTTTTCCGAGCTCCCCTGAAAGATGCATGAAGGTAGATGAGAAAAGCTAAGTACTCATTACAATTTAAGAAATAATGGATTGGACTTATAAATTAACCCGAGTTACTGTACATTTTTGTACATTTGCGTGCAGGTTGGACAACAACACTCGAAACTTCAGATTATATTTTAGAACATAAAACCAATTGGCGTGAGTTTACGACATACTCCGATAACTTTTTTGCGTGCTAGTCGGAATTTTCCAGAAGGTAATATAACTCTAAGGAATACGGAAGCGTATTAGTGCCACGTAATATTTTTTTCCAACTTTAATCTTGTTTTTTTCAACTTTAAAGTTTGAAGTACCAACTTTTAAGAAATATTGCGTGGCACTAGTACGCTTCTGTAAAGGAAAGCTTGCTTGTCTTGTTTTCTTTAATTTTAGGTTCTCTAGATGCAAGATTAAAAAAGTACCACACCGCGGAAACCTTTAAAGTGGATAATTAGGAAATCATGTCTCAATTCATCCTTTTCTGTGTGCTATTATATATTATGACATTTGAGGTGAACCATGCCAGTGGGATCATACGACAGAGGGCAAATGCTTCTTGTAGGTTGTTTTTGCATACATGTTGAGCTTAACATATTAATGTTATATAAATTAATTTCTTAAATAACTATTTCTTGTTTGTATAATTAATCACTATATTTTATGTGTGTCTATCATAAAAATAGAATTTCAGAAGATATTTTCGAAAAAATATTTAACAAAAATTCTTTTCATATTAGTATGCCCTTACATTCTTCCCTCCCCATCATTTCTTGAAGAAGATTTCGGGAAAAAAGCCGTGTTTACTGCATTTGTGGAATCAAAACAAGAACCTGCTGAAGATGCTATATGGCAAAAAATTCTAAATAATGGTCATACAGCAGATATTGACAGATCTGATGTTAAATATGATGAGACTGAAAATTTTCCATCTCCAAAACTGGTCATTAATAAACTTGACTTTAATGACACTGGTTATTATCGGCTGCAAGTCAAGATTTCTGATGGCTGGTGTACAAGTCCTACTAATGTTCGCTTACGGAAAGTTCGGGGAAGTATGTTTCTGATTCTGTATGTGAAAAGAAAACTTATTTTACCTGACATGATTATTTAATCAAACATCAGAAACTGTTTAACGTTGATATGAAATGATCCTATATATATGTTACAGTAAATATGTGTAACCAGGAATTTCACGTATTTCCTGAATTTTAGGAAATACATGAAATTACTATTCTGCTTAGGGAATACAAGTATTTACTAAATTCAGTTAGGAAATACACGTAATTACTGAACTTTTCAATACTTTTTACATATATTTACTGACTGCTTTTTTGTGGGATAATTCAAAATTTAAATCATAAAATATGAATAGATGCACAGTATAATCAATGTTTATATCAGTGAGCATACCATATGTGAATAAATAATATTTGAAATAAACTTTTATTAACTCACCTGAGCCGAAGGCTCAAGTGAGCTTTTCTGATCACATTTTGTCCGGCGTCCGTCTGTCCGTCTGTCTTTCTGTCTGTCTGTCCGTCTGTCTGTAAACTTTTCACATTTTCGACTTCTTCTCAAGAACCGCTGGGCCAATTTCAACCAAACTTGCCACAAAGTATCCTTGGGTGAAGGGGATTCAAGTTTGTTCAAATGAAGGGCCAGGCCCTCATTCAAGGGGAGATAATTGGGAATTAATGAAAAATTAGTCGTATTTTTTAAAAATCTTCTTCTCAAAAACCACTGTGCCAGGAAAGATGAAACTTATATGGAAGCATCCTCAGGTAGTGTAAATTCAAGTTTGTTCAAATCATGACCCCAAGGGGTAGGGCGGGGCCACAATGGCCGACCAAAGTTTTACATAGAAATATATAGGAAAAATTCTTTAAAAATCTTCTTCTCAAGAATAACAAAGCCATGATTGGTCATATTTATGTGGAAGCATCCTCAGATAGTGTAGATTCAAGTTTGTTCAAATCATGACCCCCAGGGGTAGGGCGGGGCCACAATGGCCGACCAAAGTTTTACATAGAAATATATAGAAAAATTCTTTAAAAATCATCTTCTCAAGAATAGCTAAGCCATAATTCATCACATTTATATGGAAGCATTCCCTGGTAGTGTAGATTCAAATTTGTTCAAATCATGACCCCGGAGGGTAGGGCGAGGCCACAATGGCCGACCAAAGTTTTACATAGAAATATATAGGAAAATTCTTGAAAAATCTTCTTCTCAAGAATAACAAAGCCATGATTGGTCATATTTTTATGGAAGCATCCTCAGATAGTGTAGATTCAAGTTTGTTCAAATCATGACCCCAAGGGGTAGGGCGGGGCCACAATGGCCGACCAAAGTTTTACATAGAAATATATAGAAAAATTCTTTAAAAATCATCTTCTCAAGAATAGCTAAGCCATAATTCATCACATTTATATGGAAGCATTCCCTGGTAGTGTAGATTCAAGTTTGTTCAAATCATGACCCCGGAGGGTAGGGCGAGGCCACAATGACCGACCAAAGTTTTACATAGAAATATATAGGAAAATTCTTGAAAAATCTTCTTCTCAAGAATAACAAAGCCATGATTGGTCATATTTATATGGAAGCATCCTCAGATAGTGTAGATTCAAGTTTGTTCAAATCATGACCCCCAGGGGTAGGGCGGGGTCACAATGGCCGACCAAAGTTTTACATAGAAATATATAGAAAAATTCTTTAAAAATCATCTTCCAAAGATTAGTAAAGCCATAATTGGTCATGGGACTTCTTTTGGATTAAAACTTTTCAAAAATAAACCAATTTTCTACTTTTTCTTAGCCACAGTGCTCAGGTGAGCGATGTGGCCCATGGGCCTCTAGTTTATGTACAAATTTTGAAAATGTATTATTTGTAAATATTAACTTAAGATATAATTATACTCTTCTTTCATTTTTGCTGAAAAGTGTTTTCTATATCACAACATACTTGAACTAACTTTCAATTATTTTTATATACTAGTATTTTTATCTAAAAAACTTAAATCGCTTACTGGCATTTCTTATTTTATTAGATATTCATACATCTACAGTTTTTGAAAGTAAATTTGAAACCCTTTGAATCTTATTTACAAATAAAACAATTTTTATGCTGTCTCCTTAAAAATGCAACAAACCACCCACCCCTTCCCCTTGTAAAATACACATAATGTAACGACATTAAAGTCAGGAATTAAATTTAAAATTTAACCTTGAGGAATTTTCTACCCTAACAATTTTAAAAGTTCAAAATAAAAAAAAAACTAATTGAGTTTGAATTAAGGACAAACGAGACGTTCCTTAATAATAGATAAATTTTTCTAAGAGTTTGTCATTGAAGTATTGCTACTTAAACATGTTTACTCACAAAAATTTGAAGTACCTCACCAGGCATTTCTGCAAGATACCAGGGGTAGTTTTTCTTATATAATCCTTTGGGTGAGAAAAATAAATGTTCCAATTTCAAATGTTTACTTGTTTGGATTTTTTAAAAACGCTAAGAAACTGGTTTGGAAATCAGAACGTAATTAAAATTTTGAATATTTTTCATACATGACGAAGATATGCAAAACAGATTTTGAAGAACGTGTCGTCTGACCTTAACTGAAAATTGCAAAACATAATTTATCTATTTTACCATAATTTTAAAGATGTGAGACTCGAATAAACAGAAGTACCCCTTATATCACTATTTACAATTCGTACATTTTTAATAAATGTTATAATAAAAATTATTTAAAAACTATTTCAAATACATTATTCTGATGCTAAATGATATAAATTCATAGCGTCTTTAGAAATATTTTTGAAATGTGAATATTAGAAACTTCATTTTACATAAGAAGTACAATAAAGGAATTCAAAATTAATGCATAACGTCAGCTTTGTAGAAACGATTCTTATCAAATGCTGCTTTAAAAAAAAAGAATTTTAATGTTTGTATGTTTACTGAATCTTTTAAAGGATATGCACATATTATTCATCCTGCTTTGTTCAGTAAAAACGTGTAAAATTGGCTAAAATTTTCAGTAAATACACGAATTTCCTAGCTATTCATTAATTACATGTATTTCCTAAATCAGCCAGTACATAAATGTATTTACTGAATGTTTTAGGAAATACATGAAATTCCTGATTTCACATATTTACTGTAACATATACACTATAAATTTACAGTGGATGTAACATTGCTGACACAGTTCCATTTATTCAGTCATTTAATTTCTTGATCTTGTTTCTTCAGTTCTACAATATAATAGGAGATGCAATGAATCTCGGGAATGTGATGAAAGGAAATATTTACTATGCTTGCTATCAAACAGCCAGAAAAAGTGTCTGTGCCGTAATTATTTTTATCATCGTAACCAAACGTGTTTTGAGAGTAGGTTTAAGTTGTTAACTTCACATGTATGAAAATTCGTATGTTTTTATTCCTGGTACCACATAAATATGTGGAATTATGCAGATAAGCAACTTTAACTCACAATCATTGATGCAAATTAATCATTGTAAATACTACATAAAATACATCAGTGAATTTGGCCTCTAAAACTACTCAATAGCTTATAATTTCTTGTCACAAGTAATCAATCATATTAACAATGACTTCCAATGACTATAAAAGTAATACATTATAATTGTTTAATATTTTCTAATGAAGAATCCAGTCTATTAGCCACAAATATATATTCCAACATAACATCTTCTGAGATCAACATAGAGTGGGGAGAACCAAGTACTGACTCCGATCTAATACAGCATTACGACATTAGCATCATAGACAATGGAGGTACCACCATAAAGTCAGCATCTGTTGGAAAACATACGAGTTATAGGTACATCTCGTACTATGTTCCTGGACATAGGTACTACTTCAAAATAACATCCAATGTGAAAGTGAGCGACCCTTCAGAAACCTTTACCGTTGAAAAACGACAGGCATTAATTGTAGGTCAGTTTTTATGATTTCTTTTATTTGTTTACTGTTACAATGTATTTCAAGAGATTCTTAAATACCATGCAGTGATTTCTTAATAACATTCAACAAAATATTATTATGGTGTAGTAAACAAATCATTAACATAGGTAAGAAATGAAATTGTTTTACTTTCAGAACCTCTTCCACCAGGCTCTGTGATTAGGAACACTAGTATCTTTCACCCTGAGAAACTACATCTAGAATGGACACCTCCGGAAAACAATACTCGTGTTGATAGATACATTATCAATATATATAGTAATGCACAAACCTATGCCTTCGTTACATATACTAATAAAGGGTCCTTGTCAAATAGGTTGGAGCCTGGTAAAAATTACACTGTATCTATCGTTGCCAGAAGTTATGGGAAAAGTAGTAAGGCTTATAAGGAAGTAATCAATACTCTACGTAAGTGTGATGTTTCTTATTACATAATAGTATGTATTATTGTATACAAAATCATATTTTCATCAAACTCTTCTGTACATATAGTTTACATTTTTTCTGTGTTTTCAATACCAACGATCTAATTTTTATTCTGTGTGTCTTTCGATCGGAAAAAATTCAAAACTTTCTTGCTTATGTCACGACGACTTACATCAAATAGGTATTGATTTGATCAATCTTTTTTTTAAAGAAATATTTCAGTTTGAGGACATTTGTAATTGAAAAATTGTTAATTTGTGTTTAGAAAAAATGATGAAAAAGGAATAAATTAGGGATGTCAACGAATATTCGAGTACTCGACTATCGTTCGATCATACTGACTATCGACTAAAATATCTTTAGTCGGTTATTCGTTAAAAATGTGTTTCATCAATGTAATTTTGAATTCAAGTCAATAAACTTATATTTGCCCATTTCATTAATTTACAGATCAATATTTTCATATGTAAAATTAAGGGTATGGTATAACTGTTCAAAGTATTTACGTCGATGTATGTTCGTCAAAAATGTCTTCAAAATCTACAGTTGTGGTATAGCTTGAAAAAGGTAAACAGTGGTATTGAGGTTATGTGAATCTGAACTTTTATTCTGCAGTGTAACATCAAACATGATGTTTTATATGCCGAAGCAGTCAAACATACATACAGTCTTCAAGTGAAATTTTAAATTCCTAAAGTAAGTTCTCTGCAAATATGACAAAAAAGCAGAGTGGGAACGAAAAATCACAAACATGATTATTATTGATTGTCTACCTCTTACTATTTTAAAGGGAGGGGGCAATTGTTTAGTTTTGTGGATTCAAACTAAGATTTGACGTGATACAACTATTCAGAAAGAATTCTAATTAAACAGCATTAAAAATTGTAAATTAATGTCAACTGGGATCAGTTATGAGAGAAATTAAACCCTGTTTTCTTTTTCTGATATTAATTTCATACAATCATTGATTGTTTGCACAAAATTTCATAATCAGAATTTATTCCAAGCTCTCGCTCTCTCTTTGATTTTATAAGAGACACTTTTTAATTGTTTACTTGTTTCAAAGATAACTGACGGACACGTAGAAATTGGCTTCAATTATGGGATACATGTACAACAGTTATGTAAAGAAAGGACAAACACAAGCGTTTGATATTCTGCATTTAGATAAAATGTGCAGCTAATATACTAATTTTGAAGTTAAATACACTGGGTACATGTACATATTGATGTACAATTTTTATTACACTACTTACATATTAACAATTCAGAAATTCGTTGTATAATGGTGATAACATAGATTAAATATTGTGAACTAATCAGTAAAAGACAAACAATGAAAATGATATGAAAAATTTCATTAGCCCGTTATGCCCGTTATGCTAAAATTATCCCATGTTTCCCACTATTGTTGATGTCCCTGGCATACTCTCATAACTAGACAGTGATTCCTTATATTTCCATTTCATTGTGAAATAAAATTGTAGACTTAGACATTAAAAATGTAGACTAATAGTTTTAAATTACACGAGGACTTCCATGCCAATTTCCATAGCCCTCTCTCACTGACATTAACCACAAAGGCAGCCGCACGAGATTTTCATGCATATTTGGCATCCTTAGCGTCAGACACAGAGACAGATGCGCACGAGATTTGCATGCATGTTAGGCCTCCCTAGCCCCCGACCTTTCGACCTGCCTAATTTACATTCCGGCAGGTTTATCAAAAAATTAACTCCACTAAGTTTCAAAGAGTTACCGTATCACAGAGACAAAAATAAGAAATGGAAATATTTTAAAATTAAACGAATAATCGACTATCGTTCGACTAAAGCATCCGACTATTCGACTAAGCTGTCCGAGTAAAATTGACATCCCTAGAATAAATGTAATAGCTTCCCAAAGTATACCAGTTGAAAGAATTTACGTTTTTTTTTAAACAAACAATTTGCTGTAATGAAATGTTCAGTACTCAAACTCAGGTTAAATTATTATAACATTTATGTTATTTTATTAATGATTTATTTATTCATTTTTCTAAATCATTCTTTAATAAAGTTGGTCAATTTCTTTTTACAAGTAGAGAAGTTAATTTTCTGTATCTTATGTCTTCACAAGGTACTCCTTGGGTAATAATCACTTCAGGGCATTGGGTCGATGTTCCATACCTCTCAAACATGGAAATAACAGCAACGGTCAAAAATATGTCTGATTTTCCGCCTACTTTGGAAACGAAGTGGGAAACAAATTTCAGCGGGTTCAACATAACGCACAGTAGATATAACGGCAGTTCCCTTGACCTCTTCAACCCAAACCTGGTTATCAACAGGGTGGATTTTTATCATGAAGAAGGAGCTTGGTTTCGATGCTCTGCACGAAATTCGGAAGGTTGGGGAACAAGTGAATATACATCAAATGTTGACGTTCATGGAAGTACGTGATGTTGTGCATACAATTTTTGCGTTTAAACAACAGAAGTCAAAACTCTTTTTTTTAAGCTTGCTTTTTAACGCTGTATTCATTCATGATTTCTTCCACAGGTCTAAAATTTTCTGAGCCATGTAACTATACAAGAGAATGCCTTGAACATAAATATTTGGAATGTTCCAGCGGCAAATGTCTGTGCAATACATATACTTATCATAAGGGAAAAAAATGCTACAGCAGTGAGTATGCTTTGTATGATTAATATTTTATATAATACATTAAAAAAATTCCCAACATCATTTAAGCATTTGATATTTTTAATGGTGTTAAAAAGCAAGATTAAAATTTATGTCTTTTTATTACAGGTAGTGATTTACAAGCACGATCAATCCATATTATGAGCTCCACGTGTGACATTACCATTACATGGGAGCATCCTACAAGGGACCGAGAGCTGATAACAGGATACCAAGTCATCACTTCTGATACACATATTATGAATGGAAACCAAGCCATTTCTTCAAAAACAGTTTCTGTCGGAAATATAACGGAATATACAACTCCATGTAAATTACAACCAGGAAAGCGACATTCAATCTACATTCGTTCAAAGATTCATTTAAGCGATCCACCAGACGAAATTATTGTAGATTCAGAAAGAAATTATGTAATCTTAGGTAAGGTGAACGTTTATAGGTTTTTCATAAAAAAAATGAAAATAGGAAAAATAAGAAGTTTGAATAAGTTCACTGAAGCAATTTTTATATATCTTTCTAAAATTTCTTTTCTAAATGAAATATAGAAAAAATAATGATTATTCATAAAGCTTAAAAATCTATTGAAATAAATCAAGTCGGAGGGACAGCGAACAAGGACTTTTAACAACCAGGGGCCCGTTTCTCAAAACAGCCTACGACTTTGCGTAAACTTCGGGATTGAATCTGCGTGACTAAACCTAAAATCGGACAAAGTTAATTTATTAGCTAAGAATCTACGGCTGCTCATGAGTACGCCTAAGTTCCTTGTCTTTACACAACTTTTTTGTTTTGATAATGAAGAATTCAAAGATAAAAAAATAAGTTTATACGTATACGATAATACCTATAAAAGTATAATTTGAGAACATTTTTGAAAAATATAATTAAGTAGGTCATTGCTAGGGTATTCTCTAACAATAAACTGATGATGCAGATGTATTTTCGTAAAAAAAGACGGATGAATTAGAGATACGTAATATTAAATTTAAAATTAGACACTGGGAAAGTAAAGAAATATCAGAGACAAGCATTAAATCAGTATCGTGTAGCATCGGATGAATATGGTTGTATTCCTTCAAGATTCCACAAGAGTCTATCCAGTTTATTGTATAACTACGACTGCATGGTCTTCACCTAGCTTTAGTACTTCTTTGTACTGTTGAAATTTAAATTATTTTTTTAAAACTACATGTATTGTTTGTAGTTACTGAATTACAAACCACTATCACCCCCAATACGCTTTATTTATTATTGAATACAAAGGTAGGAGAAAGCATTGTCTATAAGTCATGTATTTAAATAGACGTAAAAATAGACCGTGGCAACGAATTTAAACGGGGGTGTCAAAACAATCAAGTTATCTGTTAACCGTCAAATCTCAAAAATTCTTCTTGGGATGGGAGCTGGTGAGTGAAAGTGGACGTGTGTAGAGCTACCAGCATCTGAACGAAATCAAATGGGCTTTAAAAAGATGAGCTCTAACGTTCTCAAGACATGGAGAAGAATACAAAAAATAATTTATCAAATTCAAGCATGCTTTGTTAATATATCTAAATCTATGGATAATGCATTTTTAAAACTTTTTGTATATATAAAAAAAATTGCATATATATATATTTTTGTGACGTGATCTTTTGTTAAAGCTGGTTCAATAAATTTGTTATTGTCCTGCACCCCGTTCAATAAGTTACCTGTAGGTGTCCAATAAGACTCAACTTATTGGACAGGTACAGGTAACGTTAAAATGAGAACAAAGGGCGAGGCAAAATAAGTAAACACCACGTAAAAGGCAATGACAAATCAAACAATTTAATATGAACAATGTAGCGTTAAATGTTGATATTTCACAAAAAATCCTATTGAACAGGTCCAGTCCAAAGACTATTTCTACCTGCGTAGCTATTAATAGCTACCTAGGTATTTAAAGCTACCCAAAGTAGCTATTTTTACATACTTTTTATAATTTCTGCATTTTGCGACCAAAAGACTAAACAGCGCAACATGATGAATACCATATTTTTTTAAACGGTCACAATGATTGATCCGCGGAACATATATAGAATCCAATGGACACAAAAGATGAATGAGAAGCATGTGTTTTCTTACACAACCTTGGGCTTTTTGTTTATTGAAATATCCATTTTTCCGCATTTAGCACAAAATTTAGCTCACGAAATTCCAACGGAATCTGTAATTTCGTCCGAAGATTTATGACCATTCATCCACCTAGTCCTGTGTCGTTTAAGGGAGTATCTGTTGTTTTAAGGAGTGGCTGGAGTAAAATCCTTCCGAGTTCGAAACCTGCTCACAAAACAAAATTGCATTTTTTAAAAAATACATCAGGAATAATCTCCCAATTTCATAGAAATGGTTTAATAAACAGTTGTTTGAGTAAAATCCTTCAAATCCTATTGCTGTACAAAAATTACCTTTTAACAGGAACTGTTTCTTGCAAATTCCGAAACATAAGAATATATCCAGATTTCACAGTAAAAACCTGAACTGAGGCATCTTGGTGTAATCGATTAATTGCATCGTAAAAACACCCGCTTCTGAAGGTCTTTTTCCAAAATTAAAATGTACGTCTTCATCCGTGGTCGTTGAGTTGTAAAATGAATAAATTGTAAAGAATTTACTAGAACTGACTTTTACGCATGCGTAGTATATATAAAAAATGTCGCAATGCGGATAAATAAGACTAAACAAAGTTAATGTTCATATTTATCGATATAAAACACCTCTCGATGATTCCTGCTTTTAATAAAGACAGAAGAAAAACCAAAACTGGTTTTCTTTGGCCTAACTTGATGAACAGTGCCAGGTAGTCATCTAAGCAGAACGAGACCTTACATGTGGCTGTCCAATAAGTTAACAATGGAAGTGTTCGACAATGGTGAAATGTTTTAAGTAAGTTATAAGCCTCAAACAGGCCATTATGTCAGATATTAGACTCTCCTCGGCGCTAACGCGCCTCGGGTCGTCTAATATCTGACATAATGGACAGTTTTCGGCTTATAACCATTACATACTGTATACAGGAAAATTTTCGCCCCCGTTTTATTTTCGCCCTTTCCTCGGTTATGTGAATTTAAAATGGGGCAAATTCAAAGAAAACAGTGTAATTTCTTAAACGGAACTGTTACTGGGCGAATTTAAGACGGAAAAAAATAGTTTACAAGTGTGAGAGGCGGAAAATAAAGCGGGGCTTCATGATGAAAGAATTTCTTTGTATTTAATGAAATTTCGATAAGTTATGAATTTTCAAACTAAAATGTTCAACACGTCTTTTGTAACTTTTGTTGTTTCGTGTTGGTTGACAATTTTGTACGTACCAATCATATTTCACTTTCTGAAAGCCCTTTTGCGTACTTTTTTTTTATTTTCTTCACAAAAAAATTATCCTGCACTGCTTTCATTTTATGCGTGTAATTTGATAAAATAATCAGTGATGTGTTTTATCAATATATCAGTCAGTGAATATTACTATAGTGTATCGTTTCTCAATGCTTTTTCACATACTTATGTCAGGACTATTTTTTTTTATTTTGTTCATTTATCGATACAGATCCTGTCAAACCTGGGAAACTTGTGCAAAATCTTTGTAATCGTTCCGCTGACTACTTGTACTTACGATGGGAAAAATCCGGAAAGAATTCCTTCGTAAACCGCTACAGAGTGACAATTGATGGTCGTACTCAGATAACAACGGGATATGAACCAGAAATTTACTGGGAGGTCCTGCTGCTGCCTAATACTCAGTACAACGTAACCATTACAGCAATAAGTTACGGATTTATCACCAATTATCCGTCTTACGGATCAAGAGAAAGCCTTCCATTAAGCTTTGAAATTGAAACGACAAGTAAAGGTACTTGATATCAGTCTTAACATCAAAATGTTTTCATTGGTTAACATTCAAATCATTTTTAAACAAATGAATAAAAAAAATTTGATGATACGATTTGAAATATAATTTTCGACTTAGTTTGTTCACCCTTTTAAAAAATTAATTTTGCAACATGCAGAAAAATAAAGGTGACCTTTCGAGATATAAAAAAGGTATTCTTAATTGTCTTTATTCACACATTGGTACTCTTATTATCAGAATTAGTCGGCGGTAAATATACACATTGTAATGAATGTACAAAATATACTCTCTATTTGTTTCTTGCGTGTAAACAAATAAAACTGAAAGCAAGCAGTGAGATAAACGAAAGAGAATGCATCGTGACGTCATGTCATTTGCTTTGTATTATAGAGAAACTATGCATTGTGACGTCACGTTTTATTTATCCACAGCTGATGTCGTGTGTACGGAATTTTACACTTTACTTTGTAACCAATCAAAGCTCGTGTTACATGCTATATAGGAAATAATGTTTAATATTCTTCTCATAAATTTTACAACGTATTTTGAAAGAATTTTTTTTTCAAATTCCAAAGAACTAATTAACAATTTGAAATCACAAGATTTCACCAAAACCAACCATAATGATCATATAGTCATCACTGTCACTTGCTATTTTCAAAGACGTGAATGAGTGTCAAGAAGGACTTTCAAAATGTGAGCAAAATTGTACAAATATTAAAGGATCATTCAACTTTAGTTGCTATGCAGGCTATATGACTTGAGCAAAGATGGAAAAATGATTGATATTCCGTGAAGTTAAATCTTTTGGTTCGCATTTAAGACATACATGTACAAGAAAGATGTATTTTTTCTGCACGATTCTTTAGTTTCAATAATCAAATCCTGTTAACTAAATAGCTTTAATTGAATTAAATACGTTGTTACCCACGTATTCATGAATTAAGTTTAGTTAATTTAATGAGTACTAGAATATGTAAATCGATTTTGATTTTTATATTAAAAATATGTAATCCCTTTATAATGAATATATTATTTCTGTTAAATACGTCGTTTCTATAATATTTGATGGTAGTTTTAATTTTTTTTTTTAAATTTTAGACAGATAAGTACGAAAGACGAATAGTTCCACATAAAAAAATATTTTAATCTCGTAATTACGAGGAAAGATCTCGTTATTACGAGTTAATTATCTCGTAATTACGAGAAAAGATCTCGTAATAACGAGAAAAGATCTCGTTATTACGAGTTAATTATCTCGTAATTACGAGAAAAGATCTCGTTATTACGAGTTAATGATCTCGTTATTACGAGAAAAGATCTCGTAATAACGAGAAAAGATCTCGTTATTACGAGTTAATTATCTCGAAATTACGAGTTCATTATCTCGTTATAACGAAAAAAAATCTCGTAATTACGAAAAAAGATCTCCTTATTACGAGTTAATTATCTTAACTATTCTGGTATTCTTTCCATTCTCAAAAAAAGTCAGATATTTAAAACAAGAACACAAAGTAATCATATAAACAAGCTTATAGTTTTTATTTATGGTTAACACACAAGATATTTCTTAAAAAAACTAAATTTTTATTATATCTAGACAATAGGTGTTATTTCAAATAATGTAAATATTCTTTATTGAATTTATTAGTTAACATATGTTTCTGTTTCTGTTTTGTTTTTGTTTGTTTGTTGTTGTTGTTGTTTGGGGGGTGTACTATGTATGTATTATCGATTTTCAACTAAGTATTTTGTTTACTCGATATATGAGAATTATCAAAGATGAAAAACACTTGAAAATAACAGGGATTGTCCAATGCACACATTACCTTGTAGCATTCAATAACAAACAAGCAAATTAAAAGGAAAATTTAGAAACTATTTTATTTGGCTGAATGGGCCACGGCCGCTGAAATGAGGGAGCCGAGGCATCAATATTCGCCTTGTAATGGCATCCCTAAAAATGCAAAGGGAACCCTGGGAACAGATGTTCACCTTTCGTGACTAGTCCAAAATGCACACAAAATATTCAATCAAATGACAATAAGTTCCGAAAGCCTACTGGTGAGCCTAATAGCCGCCACGAGACCATGTCAGACATGGTCCGCGCCACCAGTAGGGAAAGCGTGACAGAACTTAAGTAAACCACCCCTCCCCAAGAAAAAACTTACTTTGAACTGCGATATGCCTAAAATAAATTCATTACTGGTCCTAAGATACCATTAATATGCAAATAACTTGGGGGCAAAGTATTGCCCAAATAAGCAAAATTGTTGTCAGCAATGCAATGCAGTGCGGCAAAATCACTGCCCAAATACTGAGTAAGCGAAAATACATCGCCAACTAAAGGACTAGTCACAAGCAAATGCAAGGCGCCAAATTACATGTAAGTAAATGACTAGCACTATGACCCCATAACTAGTCATAGCGCAGCCATGGCCCAAACTCTCCCTGTGCTGGTGAAACCTTTAATTACGGGTATGAAAGGAAAAACCTGAAACCCTTGCTGTAACCTTTATAAAGTTGTTACCTAATTCTGAAAGGTGTTACTGTACCTTGTCACCTAAAAACCACTTCGGACGATCGGGGCGGATCTCAGGGTACCTAATAAATCTCTCCTGGCCTTTATTAAGAAATTCGCGACACTGCCATTGAGGCGCTTTCTTAACTGCATTACACCTTGCTGATTAATGCCCCCCCCCCCTCCATGACGCCGATGTAATATTTGAGAACATACTATAATAGTCACTTTACCAGTTTCCGCAAAATTTGAGTGATCCCCCTTATATCTAAATTCTAAAAAAATAAATATTAACAAAATATTACTCAATTTGTAATCAAATCGAGTATTCTTAACATTTAAAAAGGCCACGATAAATTCATAAAACGTGTTATTTACATGTATATTTTCTATTGAAGTAATTAACGGTAATTTCTATTCACTGATACTGTTTTGTCTTTGAACATTTTTCCCGGGGGCAAATGCCATGCACCATGCATTGAAAAGTAAATGAATACGCTCAATATTAACTCCTTTACACAATATAAATTTCCCAATGTCCAAAAAATGTTTGCACCTATGTAGAGAGGTTCTCAATGTCAAAAAAAAAATGTTCAAACCTATGGAGAGAGTTTCTTAATGTCAAAAAAAAATGTTTGCACCTATGTTGAGAGGGGCCTTAAATCTACCAACTTACCCCTTCCAGAATCAGGTATGTGAGGGGATCACAGGATCTGATTTTAATCAAATTGAGGTATTTGCTACCCCCACAATAAATAACTAAGCGAGTAAGGTCATCAATCTTGAGCAAAATCCTGATCTTTGAACAAATTTTAGGTTAAGCAAGGGGGGGGGGTGTTGTCAAATAGGGGCAGCCACTCCTCCCAGGGTTATTTCTTTATTACATGTAACTCGCTGAATGGCTTCGTCAATACAATATATCTTAAAGACTCAGGATTCTCACAATCGTATGCTTGTCTACTGTCTAGGGCCCTTGTAAGTTTTAACAGAGCTAAACAACCAAAATAAAAGTAATTCAGGTGCAAAATGTGTCAAGGATAATTTGTTGAGCATTTTGCAAGGCTCGCAATTTTAGGGGGGGGGGTCTATACTATTGATGTCTAAAAGACTGGGTTGAACGTGATGCGGGTCTGTTATAGATATTTGGGGCTGCTTGAGTTTCTGAGGGCAAGGAGCACCGTGCTGACTGCGTGTTTGCCGACACAAGATTTGATGGAGAGCGAGTTTAGTGTGTGGGTGTGGCTGTGAGCAAAGGATACAAGTGTGACTGTCTTGGACATGCGCCTTTATAATGAAAATCATAACACTTGATTGAAGGGGGATTGGGTTCTGATCCCAGCGCAGTCTGCACCGTCATAGGTCTGTTGTACATATAGAGCAACCACAACTCTTGGTCAACTACTGCAAATGATAATACAGGATTACGCTCTTTTTTAAGTCGGAACTGGATGTCATAGTCCCGCCAGCCCAACCCCATAATACGACTGGCGCCTAACCGTATTGTGTGCATATATTTTAACAAAGATACTGCTGCGTGGGGATGAGCGGATACATAAATCGTAGAAAAGATAAGGAAAGCGTCAGTCCATACTTGTATGTCCGTAATGGGTTTTGCTTTAGGCTTAGTCAAGTTTCCCGTCTTTTAGAGAAATATATTTGGTGTCATCATTGGGGTCAGTTTCTGGGACATTATTAAGCAGAATACCTAAATTTATGTACTCCCCATTGGCAATCTTTATTTTTACATTGTTTGGGACGTTATGTCCTAACTCATTGTCGTAGCTGGGCACAGCTGCCCTACATGCACTAGAAATAATTGCATCACCTGATGTTTCATCCAAAATAGGGGAGGATGCTGGTTCTACTACACCCCCCTGTGATTCCTTTATCAAAGCTGCTACGCTTTCAGTGACCTGTCTCAGTTGGTCTGCTGTCAACACCGCTGGCTGCGGAGATGCTGGAAAGCTGCTAACTGGTAGCTGAGAATGGTCATGTGCTGAAGGATCCAATAGCAATGAGGGAACAGCCGATGCTGCAGCAACAGCATTCGCCGATCGAGAACCCCGTCCTCTCCTTTGACCTTTCCTTGGCGTGGGCTGACTATTGCCGTCTGCTTTGCGCTTATTGTATTCTTTCCATTCTCAAAAAAAAATAATGCCAGATATTTAAAACAACAACACAAAGTAATCATATACACAAGCTTATAGTTTTTATTTATGGTTAACACACAAGATATTTCTTAAAAAAGCTAAATTTTTATTATATCTAGACAATAGGTGTTATTTCAAATAATGTAAATATTCTTTATTGAATTTATTAGTTAACATATGTTTCTGTTTTGTTTTTGTTTGTTTGTTGTTGTTGTTGTTGTTTGGGGTGTGTGTACAATGTATGTATTATCGATTTTCAACTAAGTATTTTGTGTACTCGATATATGAGAATAAAACTGAAAAAATGCAATGAAACGCCATAGATTTTTTTAATGTGGGTAGCTATATCCGGTGGATATTACTCGTGTAATTTGATATTACACTGTGTGTTTTTACGCGGCGTGGCGTCATATAAAGACAATACATGTACGAGATCTTTTCTCGTTATAACGAGATAATTAACTCGTAATTACGAGATCTTTTCTCGTTATTATAAGATCTTTTCTCGTAATAACGAGATGATTAACTCGTAATAACGAGATCTTTTCTCGTAATTACGAGATAATTAACTCGTTATAACGAGATATTTTCTCGTTATTACGAGATCTTTTCTCGTAATAACGAAATGATTAACTCGTAATAATGAGATCTTTTCTCGTAATTACAAGATAATTAACTCGTTATAACGAGATCTTTTCTCGTTATTACGAGATCTTTTCTCGTAATAAGGAGATAATTAACTCGTAATAACAAGATCTTTTCTCGTTATTACGAGATCTTTTCTCGTAATTACGAGATAAAAATATTTTTTTTATGTGGCCCTATTCGTCTTTCGTAGATAAGATACTATTATTTTGCTTGTAAACTCTGAAACAGCAGATCTTATCTCCATCTGACTGTCTGTCTATTCCAAAGCCGATCTGTCAGTTACGGAAACGTATAACCGCCTCGTGTTGTTGTATTAGAACACGATATCATGATATAAAAATGTTGTCAAATACAATTACTTTAAGGTTTGGCGATTTAATTATGACAACAATCTCTGATGAATAATACTTTACTGATATATTTTAAACGATTTATACACTTTGATACATCCAAGTTGAATTCCTAAATGTTGCACTAAAATTATGTGTACAAATTATGTCGCTAAAATTAAATATCGCAGAAATTAGTGCAATATCACATACATGAAGACTTCGCTAAGACGACTGGATTTAATCAAAGAGGATAATTCAACAAAGTTAAAACGTCTTTTCACATCAGATTTATTAATAATAACTATTAAATCGATGAGTGAGTGCTTTTTTAAGGACCCGAGCCACTGTTTGAAAACCGTAGCTATGGGCCTGATTTTTATTCTCCGAAATTGATTTAATTGAAAATGAAAATCTAAAATTAAACACTGTCGCAATGATTTCTTTTCATAGAATCAAAAAATATATATTAGCATTATTTACGGCGTTATAATTGTTTATATTTTGTTTATATATGTGCTTTTTAAATGTACTCAAAGAACAACTTCATAATATATATATGTTTGTATAAATAACATAAATCTGAATTTATAAAATAAATCAAAGCACGATTGGGGGAAAAATTGTGTCTGTGACAGCACTTACTAATGAGCTTGTGTGTTATCTTTAGAAAGAAAGAGGACAAAATGTAAATCATTTCGTTCATTTTATCAATCTACATATCTTGTTAAAAAATACATGAGTATGTGCAGACGTGCGCTCGAGTTTTTCTAATTGAATTATTAAAGAAAAAAATATGTAACTTTCTCTTGTACTTTTGAATTTTCAAAAGTTTGAGGTCATATTTAATAATGCATGTCATCACATCAGACGAAAATATTTAATGCTTATATTTCTGCATATGTTCTCCAAGCTAAGAACATGATTAAAGATTTCGTTATCATAGTTTGAATAGTAGACATGTATTACCAAATATAGTGACTGTCCTTTGAAGCAACATTCATGAGATTTATTATTTAGGGAAGAGCCTGCAAGGATACTATAACTATTGGAATTTTTTTAATTTAAATCAGACATCAATTCGGTGCAATATATTAAGGAGGAAATTCATTTTCTCCTTGTATGTCCTCATCTTGAGACTTGAGCTCATAAATATTCGTAAAATTAATGTAAAAATATTCAGTCTCTATCTTATGATAATCAATTTATTGCCTCATGACTCATGAAGACCCTGGCATTCTTAGATCACTTGTTAGTATAATGTACTTTTCCCCTAGTTTCTTGCCTTTGACTATAATTTTATTATAACATATACGATACATTTATGTATATTGAGTAAATATCTTATATTATTAATTGCTCTCATTATCATGAATGTTCTATAAATTGGATACTCCTCCTTCTTTTGTTTATAAATCTTTTTTGCTCCTCCAGGGGCCCAAATTGGACTAATAAAATCTTGTATCTTGTATAAATCTTTTGTTGCATGTCGGTCAAATTTTGTTGAATTTTGCTCTTTGATTAAATCGAGTCGTCTAAGCGAAGTCTTCATATATAGTATATTGCACTAATTTCTGCGATATTTAATTTAAGCGGAATAATGTTTACACATTATTTTAGTGCAACATTTAGGAATTCAACTTGAATATATCAAAGTGCAAAAGTCGTCTAAAACATGTCACTAAAGTATTATTCATCAGAGATTGTTGTCATAATTAAATCGCCAAACCTTGAAGTAATTGTATTTGGCAACATTTTTGTATCATCAAATCGTGTTCTAAAACAACAACACGAGGCGGTTATACGTTTCCGTAGTCAGTTTTTCCGTTAATAAATATACATTTAAGATAAGCATTGCATAGTATTTGGTAAATGTGTCAAGTAAAATAAAATTAAGAATATGGAATTTAGATAGTCTGATCCTTAATTTCTAGCTATTGTTCCTTGTTACTTTTTGTTTGAGTTGTTTATAATCATAATAGTTTGCAACATTATAATACCAAGAGCGATTTTTCCTACAGCTAATTTGTCACTTTACACGTTTCTCGAATTTTCTAGGAAGGAAGTTGAGTTATGTATATTAGACTTTACCCAAATGGACTATGACTATCCAAAAAAGATGACATTTATGATTCTATGTGGATTTAATTTCTCTGGAATGATAAAAATTAATAGGGTCACTTACATAAACTAAGATATAAGATATCTGAGGCAAGCTCGAATATGTGCTGATGTTTTGAAACATAAATTTTGACGCCGATCAGAGATATAAATTTCTTCAGAAATTTTCTCATAAGAGTTGTTTAACCTTATGCACATTGGAACTGAGTGATGAGAAAAAATTAATATTTGAATTAAGCCTACCTACGGAATCTGTCTCCTAGTTCCTGAACCGCTAGGAGACAGATTCCTTAGAGTTCAACCCCCGGCCAGTACGAAAGTAGGTATACATACATGTATACGAGAGGTGATCAAAAAGTTCGCTAACTATCTCTATATTTACAAAACTACAATTCAGATCAGAATGAAATTTGGCATACCTGCAGGCATGATTACGAAAATTTCCTAAGATATGTCTTAAGACATGTCTTAGGACATATCTAAGGCACGTCTTAAGATACGTCTTGGGGTGTAAAACGAAAGCATCTTAGGATTATCCTAAGTTAAGATGTCGTAAAATCCATCTTAGGCATTTTGTTCTTTTTCTTTTGTGTAAATGAAGCACTACAAAAATTTTAAGTTAATGTCATATGTAGATGTAGAGGGGGGGGGGGGGGGGGTAAGCTCCCTTTAGTTCTTTAAAGAATTTACTTAAAACTTGCACATACTGAAATGACATTTGGTTTCAAGTTTTCTAATAAGGCTATCTAGGTCAAGGTGTAATTTTAAAGAGACGTTAGTGCCGTCTTTGACAGGGTAAAGCCCCTTGGACTTAAAAAATCCATTTACTGGAGGGGGGCATTAGTGTTTCTTGAACATCTCCTGATTAATTTAATTGAATTTGTAACAATGAATAAAATTCAAATATTTTACAAAAATATTTGTTGAAGACAAAATGAATATATTGGATGAGACAAGTTGACTTGTAAATAACAAAATGTGACGAAGCATATATATTTTAAACAGTGCTGAATTCAATGAAGGGATGCATTTGTAATAAAGGCTGGAGAGGCAGCGATTGTAATGAAGAAATTGACGAATGTTCAACAATTCCACATATATGTGGTTTGAGTAAAATATGTTAAAATCTACAGGGCTCGTACAAATGTATCTGTCAAAATGGATTTCAACTTCAGGGTGATGCATGCACAGGTGTTGGACATTCATTAAAAACGATTGTAAACATTGTAAACACTTCATTCTGTTCTAAAAAGAAAGATTAAGTTATATCAACATCAAGTACTTCTTATTTTAAGATATTGATGAGTGTGTTGACGAATCACTGAATGATTGCCCACAATCAACAACAATCTGCCAAAATGTCTTTGGGAATTACACATGCGAGTGCAAAAGTGGATACAAAAAAAATAAAAACGGTGAATGCAAAGGTAAACATTTTCTGCAGTCTTGCCTTTTCTCTGAAATCCTGAATCGTTTTTAGTTCGAATATGCCTTATATCATTTGACCTTTTCTTTACACTCATAGCTAATGAATAGTAGGGATCAGGCGCGGATCCAGGAATTGAAGTCAGAGGGGGCGACAAAAATAGGCACGGGGTCTGGGGGGGCGATATTCAAAAGATATAGAATAATAATAAAAATGTTAAAAAAAATTAAATTATCTCTTGAAAATTATATCTGCGACCAAATATCGTGAAAGTATTGATAACATAGAGACTAATACATACCCTTTTCCATATCACATCTTGTATCAGCCGAGACACTAATATCAGCCGGAGAGCCGAAGGCCCGAGGGCTGATATTGGTCGAGAGCTGATACAGGATGTGATGTGGAAGAGGGTATGTATTGATATGTTAACTATATATTACTTAGTAATAAAATACAGCATGCATTAAGTTGATAAAAAAAGTAAATAACCATGCATGGACTTCTTACATACATGTACATGGTCTATTGTCTCATACGATTTGGGTTTGTTTTACTTCTATTTCAATGCACTCGATCAGTAATTTGAAAATAATCTAATACATGTATTTGTAAGTTAAGATTGTCCTTATTTTCAAAAAGTTAAAATTAAAAGAATATGAACCCACCAAAAAATTGTGTATGATCACAAGTACTGTTTTAATTTGTGGTTTAATTTACGAAAGGTGTGATATTGACGTTACAATAGCCGTATCAGCCTTGCAGGGTTAATATGGATTTGCAGGGCTGATATAGGTTATCAGCCCCGCAAATCCATATCAGCCCTGCAGGGCTGATACGGCTATTGTGACGTCAACCATATCGCAAAAAACCTGTATTTATTACTAAGTGTGTAATAAAAACATTTCAATCTCCAACTTACCTTAGGAATGAAGCAATTAATATACATATAACCCTAACATGTCTCAACTTTATCGAGGTGTATGCGTATCTGATGATTTGATACGTGAGAATATGTTCCACGATACGGTATATTCCGGTGAGCGTGAGATACCACGGAGTCTGACACATCTAGATCTGTTTCATACTTGGATTTTTTACTTAAAAGATGTTAATGGTATTCTATCAACCAAACTCTATGATAAACGTAATGACGTTAACTTTTCTATCGTCAACTTCCCTTACCTAAGTAGCAATACGCCTTCATCCAAGAGAATGCTCTACGTATGAACTATTTTCAACTATTTCTAAAACGGGGTACATTATTGACAAACAAATTGGTGAAATAAGAATATCAGCAGTCTTATTTAGAGTCATCATTTTATAAGTTTTATGGTCGATACAAAAACCTTATTAGCAAATACAATTTATTATTGAGTGAAACACTAACTGACGATTTTCATACTTATTGTTAGTTTATACATTGAATTGACGACTGGTTTTTCCTTTATTTCCCGATCATGACACGGAGTACACATGTATACGGCGGGTGTGACCGGTCAGCAGGGGCTGTTCACTCCTTCACGGTACAGGATCTCACCTCTGGTGTTTTGGAGGTCCGTGTTTGCTCTGCTCCTATTTTGTATTGTTTTATGGACCTTGATATTGAATACTGTTCGTTATCTCAATATTCTTTATTGAGTAGCCCTTTGAACTTGATTGCTTATTCATATCTAGTATTAAAGTTTATCTTTTATTAAGAGCATGCAAACAGTTGGTGTTTTCCCTAAATCTTACTTTTATAAGAATTAAAAAAAAAACTATGAGGACTTGACCAAAAGTGTTGATTTAACCCTAATTGTACTTCTCCTTTTCAGTCTGTGTTTAAATACAGATTGAAAAGGAGATGTACAATTAGGGTACACTAAATGATAACTATGTTTCGATATTCAATAACTTTTGTATTTAGCGATTTGTTCCCATATGTTTTTCATTCTTTTACCATTTACTGTTCATGTAATATGTAATATTTGATTCAGTTTTCATTGCGTTACTTTCTTACAAGTGAATATCAGTAATTGTAAAATTACAGATTGGGTAAATTTTATTGCTGATCGTTTGATCGATGATTGATGCTTATAAAGGGACAAAATTATTACTTTTAGACTGAGTGAAAATTGAAATGATTTTTCATTGAAGTATGCGTTTTTTTCTTTTAAAAAGATATAGACGAATGTAAAAATGGCCATGGATGCAGCCAAATATGTAACAACGTAGATGGTGGTTACAATTGCGGTTGCTTCTTTGGTTTTACTTTAAAAAATGATCGCATGACATGTGAAAAGGGTTTGTTTTCATTATTGATAATTAGTATATAGTTCTTTATAAGAATTATATAAATTATGTAAAGTAGAAGTTCTAGTAGATTTTATACTTAGTAAAAATATTCATGACATTTTCTGAATAAATGTTTGCAACAGAGAATTGATCTAAAAGTGCAAAATCCACTTAATTTAAATCTACTTGTATTTCAATACAATGTATTATTAAATTTTATTTACAATATGTTTCTAAAAAGGTAATTAACAAAATATTTTTAATTTACCAGTTAGAGATTCGTGTTCTCTTTTCCCCGAACTGAACTGTACTTATGGTTGTAAAATACAACACGACAACCAAGGAGTCTGCTTCTGCGAACATGGTTATAAACTTGATGTGGACAATAGAACTTGTATAGGTAATGTTAAACAACAACAACAACAATAATAATAATAGAGAGGTTTAGTTACACGTTTTGCGTCAAACTTGTACGGGTGACGTCATCAATTGTTGTGTTCTTCGAAATCATGACGTCAAATCTGACGTGTAGCTACAAGTTTGGAACGTGTACTGTCTACACGTACGACATCAACGTGTAAAGTTATCGATTAAACATTTTATATCCTGATTCAGTTTATTGATTTTTACGCTATAAATCAAGAACACAATTATTTTGTTTATGGAATGATGATTCCATGAGTCCATCAGAGTAAATGTATTTGTATTTTTATCAAGGAAAAGTTAAACGGACACAAGACAGCATGTTTATTTTGTATGCAGGGATTCATTTGAAGAAGATCCCACCAATGCACCAAATAAAACTTTTTGGCGGTGATTTTTTCCTACGGAAGCCCGTTGAGGCCAGTCCAGGGAAAGAAATATTTTTTATTGCGTTAAAACTCACAGAAGTCACAAAGTTTACGCAATGTACCTTTATAAAGGGCTTAAGGAAACGACTGATAAAATGTTTAGACTTATATGTATATGTACATATTATGCATAAGTAAATTCACAAACTTTCCTTTGATCACAAACAGTAAAAACGAGAATACGAGAATTTAGGAAATGAATCATATGAAATAAAAAATGAATCAAATTAAAACAGTTTGATCGATGTGTACTTCCAAATTGATATGGCTATAAATACCACTAAAACATTCTTAATTTGCTGTGATACCTACCTGAAATGATAAATGCGTTAAAAGTGTTCGATTCTAATATGTTAAAGAAACTTTGGTTGTTCACCTAGGATGCCATTGTTAAACTTAAAATCTTACAAACTGCAACATTTAGCATGAAGACACAGAACCAAACAGTTCTTCTTTAAAGAAACAGACCGTAGTATTCATAATAATTTTTGGCTAGCCGATGTTTGATTTCAAACTACAGCACTGATGGAATTATTGTGTTTAAATTAAAAAAAAACTCCTTAAAAGGAAAGATCACTGCTATAAAATGCAAAGAGTATTGCATTTAAATGCAAATTATTATTGCGATTAAACGCAAAAAATTATTGCGATTAATCGCAATAATTATTGCGATTAAACGCAATATTATTGCGTTTAATCGCAAAAGATTGTGATTAAACGCAAAGTGTTTTGCGTTTTAACGCAATGATTATTGCGATTAAACGCAAAGTTTTGCGTTAAGGGGGGACCTATGTCCGAAGAGTCTTTGTGTGAAATTTTCAAAACTTTGATATTTCTTTCCTTACCACTTGCTCTTAATTCTTAGGTATTAAAAACAATACCTTTATATGCTTATTTTTACACAGGAGCACGTGCAAAAACAGTGTGAAATGCTAAAAATAGATTATTTCCAGACATTGTTGTTCTACTCCAAATATGCGCTAAAAAGAACCAAAAATGTCAAATTACATTCGAAATCAACAGGTTTTTAATTTATATGACTTGTATCTTTAAAATGAAAGCAAAATGATTTTAATTTATCTCGCATGAAAATTTATAATGGAGCGCAATGTATGTATCCCCCCGTTTTTCTTGTCGTATTTTTTACAATTCTGACATGCATAACAGGTAATATGTTTTTGGTATGGTATATGGTATATATTTTTGGCCTTATTTCATTACAAATGATGCAAATAAGAAATTTCTAGAATATAAAGAAATTGCAAACCTTCTGTGATGTTCAAAAGTGTGCCCTTCTGAAACCATCCTTATTAATCTATACAAATATTTTTCACTTTAAGGTCAAGATCTAGTAAATGACTTTAGAATATCTTTTCAGTGCCAAATCCATTATGACGTCATAATCACTTTCAACTTTCTTTTTCCCGTACTTTACGGCTCTAATAGAATTATGTAGAAAATAAAGTATTTTCATGGAATTCAATTTGAAATCACATGAAAAGTAGTCCAGATACCTATCTTAAATTTAATATTATTTTAAAGTAGAGACTAAGAACAGACAAATTACCATTTTCTGAAAAACTGTAGGCAATCTGGATACATTTTCTTTGTCTGATGTAGAAAAAACTCCCATTTTCAATGCTGGTTTTCTTAATTTTTCATTGAAAATGGCAGTTTAAAATATGGTTTTTCATCTTGTTTTTCAACAAATTATGCCCCGAAACACCTATTTTGACCAAGCTAATGTTATAAAGCATTATTAAAGGAATTAATTTCTTAAATTTGAAAAATCTGTAGGCACCTTCCATTTACTAGATCTTGACCTTAACGCAATAATTATTGCGATTAAACGCTACGTTTTGCGATTAAACATATTACTATAACTATAACTACATGTATAACTAGCAAAAACTATTGCGTTTAAACGCAATAAAAAGTATTTCTTTCTCTTAACTGGTCTCAACGGGCTTCCGTATTTTTCCCTTAATATTATTTTTCTTATGAAAACCTATTATAACACCTCTTTTTTTCTTCAAATAAAATATTTTCTTTAAAATAACACCCACAGGCACTTGTGACATAATAAAAATATAACCCCTCGCCTAATAAGTTATAGGTAGTGTGTGACGTCAAGTGCTTATGGAGATTTTATTTCATCAACTTTTTTTCCTTTGATACTAGCTAGCACTTGTAAAGATCTTAAGCAAACGAGTTTTTATGAAAAAGGAAAAAAGAGGGCCATGACTGACTTGTATTTTGGTTTTAACAATGTATTGATGTATTAAATATTGTTCCATGCCTCATTTCTAAACGTTATAATGATTGAGCCCTTATATGTTATCGTTTTCAAAAGGTTTTTAGTTGGGATTCCCCTCCCCCCTCCTTCACAATGTGCAAAATGTGTTGTTGTTTTTTTTTTTTTTTTTTTGGTTGTAAATTCAGTATTTTTATGACTGCCTTCATTTTTAAATGGTGCAGAATTAAAAGTTTGTCCTGTAGAAATACTAGGAAAGTCAAACAAAATATTTAAAGCGCTTCACTGCAGTGAGATGACAATACATATAATAATTTTTCATTGTTTATGATATGTATAACTAGAATAAGTATAAACTCCACTTTTGATTTGTCTAACTTAAAAATAATAAATGCAATGAGGTTCAATAATTTTACTGTACTCTCCAATCATGAAATTTGAATTCATACACGAGTACGTATAACTAAATCATATTATTGACGTTGACGTCAAATATACCGTGTACGTCAAACTTTCGCGTACACGTTGTTACGTCACTTGTAACTAAACCTCTCTAATTATAATCCTTTCAAATTGAAAACGGACTTCATTTTTGAAATATTTCTGTAAAAGAATATATATTGTAATTCAATGATCTAAATAAAAAAATTCCAGAAAAGCTTTTACGAATAAACAAAATTAATACTTTTTTGATGTTGTTTATTCATAGACATAAACGAGTGTGCGTTGAAGTCCTCCTGTGATCACAATTGTACAAATTCGAATGGATCGTTTGAATGTCAATGTGCTTTTGGATTTAAGCTGCAAAATGATGGCAAATCATGTAGAGGTAATGTTGCAACATCCACTACCAATACCCACGATAAATTAAAGCCCAGGCTTTTTGATTTTAGTGACAGCTGCTTTTTGAATAAAAATGGAACTCGTTAATTTACTTATCTGGTCATTGGTCATTTGCAAATTTATTTCGTTAAAACAAATTCTGATTGCACACATAAGTACTCTAAAGAGATGCTTGAGTTTTTGATTGACAATATCTAGTGGTTTTTGGAAACCAGGTATTCAAACAATCTAATGGAATTCCAGTGGGTATCAATTACGCTCCGTTATTAGCAGACCTAGGCTATTTTTATTTAAGAAATGAATTTAATTTTTGAAGATTCATGAGGTTATGAACTACGACGCTTCACGCCGGCATATTTCATGAAGCGCGTTAGCGCTTCATGATAAATATGCCGGCGTGAAGCGTTGTAGTTCATATACCTCATGAATCTTCAAAAAATTAAATTCATTTCTAATATTTACATTATTTTTCTGATGACTTGTCATAGATTAACGCCGTTCAACTGTCATTTAAAAAAAAAATGTGCACTATATTTTTTAACTTTTTGACGTCAAGAGCGGCATTATGACGTAACAATGGAGATATTCATGCTTATTCGTGATACATACCAAATGTAGTTCATGAGAAAATATACTGCATTTTATTTTGTAAAGAATCATAGGGGAAATTTATTAGAAATGTAAATATATTCATATGAATCAGAATTTGTGCAAAATCTTTTGCGTGAATTGAAGAAAGCACTTGCTATGGCCATTCCTACGTCGATACGATATATCCTGGTGAGCTTTGAGATGAAAGATACCACAGAGTCTGACATCTGTTTCATACTTGGATATTTTACTTGAATAAGACGTTGATGGTAATCTATTTATCTAACAACCAAGCTATATGATAAATTTGATGACATTAACTTTTCTATCGTCAACTTATCTTACTTATGCAACAATATACTGTAGATTGGCAAATAATCACGATGGTTTTAATTTCGTTTCTGTTCGCGATTTATCATTTTTCCGTGAAATTAAACCCATCGTGAATGTTATTATTAGTTTTTAATTATGTTGAATTGCTTATAGGAAATTTTGAATTAATTTCTTGCAGCGTGAAATTAAAACCATCGCAGTTGATACTTTTTGAGATATCGTGAAATTTTAACACCGTAGAATTAAAACGACTTGCAGTACCTTCATCACCTGCATACGGATATCTCAGTTGATTCGATACGTAAGAACATACTCTACGTATGAATAAATTGTAAAACGAGGTAAATTATTGACAAGCAAGTTGATGAAACAAAAAAATCAGCAGTCTCGTTTAAAGTAATAATTTCGTGAGTTCTTTGGTTGATACAATGACCTTGTCAGCAAGTGCAATTAATTATTGAGTCAAGTGCTGATTGACGTTTTTCATAATAATTGTTAGTCCATTATTTATATACTGAATTGACGACGGATTTTCCCGTTATTTCCCGATCATGTCAAGAAGCACACGGCGGGTGCGACCTGTCAGCAGGGAATGCTCACTTCTCCATGGCACCTGATCCCAGCTCTGATGTTTCGCAGGTCCGTGTTTGCTTGGCTTCTATTTTGTATTGTTTTATGGACTTTGAGATTGAATACTGTTCGCTATCTCCATATCCTTCTTCCTTCAATAAAATATTTACCATTCCCATTTTATAATCTGCCTTTGCATGTAATACCCAATTCTGGTTTTAAAATTAATTGAAAATATCTAAATTACTAACAGAGCAAATCACCGCAATTTATAATAAGTAGTTTTATGGTTTTAGCTTGCCATGATTATATGTATGGAGAACAATGTTCCGGCGTATGTCAATGTGTTTTAAGCAACACAAAGGAATGTGATCCTACGACAGGGGAATGTTTATGTGAGACAGGATGGGAAGGGCGTAATTGTTCACTGGATGTAGATGAGTGTAAGGAAAAAATCATCGAGTGTGATACAAACATGTATCAAGTTTGTATAAATACAGATGGAGCAGCTCATTGTGAATGTCGCTTTGGAGGATTGAATATCACTAGCTGCAATCGTGAGTAACTTTGCCATACATTATATAACTTACTCTTTTAAAATCAGTTATCTTTACAAAGAAAAATCCTATTAATAATAAATCATTCTTTTATTCAAATTTGTTAGGTACAATGTAAAGAAAGTATATATACATAGCATCTCCAAATTTCATGTATAGTTTATTTTATTTTTTTTCTATTGATATAGACCCAAAGCCTGCGCACAGTACAAGTAAGCATTTTAAATTTGACTTTCATTTTGTAAAAGTCACTTGAGGCACTTACCTTTGGTGTATTGTGAATCTCTTCTATATCAAGCACAGCGGAGCTGAAAATTTAAGTAAGCTTTTCTAATCACCAATTTCGCTGTCTGTCCGTGTCTTGTTATCAATCCGTCCGTAAACTTTTCATTTTTCACCTTCTTCTCCAGAACCACTTGGTAAATTTTAGCCAAACATGTACAGAGCATTCTTAGGTAGAATAGAGATAAAAGTGTCAAAATGAAGGACCAACCCTTCTTACGAGAGGGAGAGGGGTGAAAAAGAAAAGACAAAAAAGTTTGAGTTATTGAAAAAATTTTCTCAGGAACCAATAGGTCAGAAAAGATTTGTGGGAATATCCTGGGGTATTTCAGATTTTAAATTGTTCATGTCATGACCTCCTGTGGTAGGGCGGGGCCACAATAGAAAATCATAGTTTTACATTGAAGTATAATTAAAAAAACTCTTTAAAAATCCTCTAGTCAAGAACAACTGAGCCAGAAAAGCTGAAACTTTTGTGGAGACATCGTAGGTTCGTGTATATTTTGATTTGTTTAGGTATTTCAAGGGGAAAGTCAAGCCAAAAGCCAAAGTTACTATATCAAAATGCAAAGTTTGAAAATAGTTGCAAAATGCTTTAACACCTTAATCAACTCAAGTTAACACTTTGGAACTGCGTGTATATTAAATTAATATATATATTTAACTGTTGTGTTTTTCATTTTGGCTTTGTTGATTTTAAGGTAGCTGCACAGACCGTTTTTTAAAATCTTTGTTTCTTCTCTATTCTCCTTTTTTCACATTATGAAGATCAATCTGAAGTAAAGATAAAAGCTGAGACCACGTTTGATATCAAAATTAGCCATAGAGAGTTTTTAGCAGATAGTGAGAAATGGCGCAAAGGATTTGAAACATCGGTATGCTGGAAGTAAATCATTAAATTTGCATTTATATATCACTGTTGCCAGAAGAGCTCCATTTAAAGACATACAAAATGATCATATTTCAAAGAATATATAAAAATTATCTTTGCCATATATGAAGGTTGACAGCTGAAGATATGTTTAAAAGATAAAGTTATATTTGAAGTTTAAATTATTGACGTCAGCCTTCTTAAAATAGGAATTTAATGAAAAAATGTTTTTGTACTTTTATTTAAATTGAAAAATATTTCACACAATCAGTTGATGAAATTTTACAAAGAAGAGAATGTTCGAGGATTATCGGCTGTTATCATTCTAACGATTCGGTAAGTCATACACCGTTTATAAAGAACGCAATTGTCATATTTCTGCATTATAAATGGCGTGCTTTAAAAGGAAATGCTACAAATCTTATTTTGATTCAATATAGGCATATGGTGGAAAATCACAATTTCCGTCAAAATGGCACCATTCAATTTGGAAGTGTCATAATAGACTATGAAATAATTGGATCTAGAAACGAATCTAAAGAAATGAAAACAGATTTATCATCTTCAATGACGAAGTTGTTGACCGGTGAAAAGAAGATGACCGTTCTTGATCAAGCACCTGTTATCAAGGAAATCAGAGTAAAAGATCCGGATGGAACATCAATGAAAAGTGCACTGATAATCACCTACATGTATCTTAATTGCCTTAAGTGATACTTGTATTATACACATTTGTGTGCAAATTTATTGATTTTTTCTATATGACATCTGAAGATGATTCAATATTGGTCATTCCGAACTCAATTTGCCTTAATAATAATTTCATATTTTATGTAGATATTTCAGTTTCTTCAAAGCCTTGTGCTATATTTCACGGTTTTGGTGGAACCTGTCCTGCCGGAGAAAGATGTGACGATACAATAGGAATAGCAACCTGTTTGTATGTTTAAAGCTCCTTAATATTTTATTTTAACAGCTAATATCCTTTTTTCATAATTGAATTGCTAAACTAATTCCTTAAAAATTTTACATTTAAATTTTTAGCCATATTCCATCCTCTTCGACAGGTATGTCACAAATGCAATTCATAGTTCCAAAAATTAACTTTATTTAATATATTTATTTGTGTTTATACCCGCACTTTCTAAAGAAAGTTCGTATATTGTTGTTACTCATGTCCGTCCGTCCGTCCGTCCGTCTGTCACACTTTTCTTCCCTAAACTCCTCCTACATTTTACACAGTAGCTTAATCATCTTTTGGGAGATGGTTGGTGGGGTCATGTAGATGTGCAGTAAGGTTTCGGAATTTTGATTTTGCCCCGGGGGGTCAAATGGGGGTCGAAAAATGATGTTTTTTGTGCAAAAAGTCCCGTCTTCCCTGAACTCCTTCTACATTTTACTCAGCAGCCTAATCACCTTTTGGGGGATGATTGGTGGTGTCATGTAGATGTGCAGTAAGGTTTCGGAATTTTGATTTTGCCCCAGGGGGTCAATTAGGGGTCGAAAAATAACGTTTTTTATGCAAAAAGCCCCATCTTCCCTGAACTCCTCTTACATTTTACTCAGCAGCCTTATCATCTTTTGGGGGATGATTGGTGTTGTCACGTAGATGTGCAGTAAGGATTCGGAATTTTGATTTTGCCCCGGGGGGTCAAATGGGGGTCGAAAAATGATGTTTTTTATGCAAAAAGCCCCGTCTTCCCTGAACTCCTTCTACATTTTACACAGTAGCCTAATCATCTTTTGGGAGATGGTTGGTGGTGTCATGTAGATGTGCAGTAAGGTTTCTGAATTTAGATTTTGCCCCGGGGGGTCAAATTGGGGTGGAAAAATAACGTTTTTTATACAAAAAGCCCCGTTTTCCCTGAACTCCTCTTACATTTTACTCAGCAGCCTATTCATCTTTTGAGAGATGGTTGGTGGGGTCATGTAGATGTGCAGTAAGGGTTTTGCCCCGGGGGGTCAAATGGGGGTCAAAAAATGACATTTTTTATGCAAAAAGCCCCGTCTTCCCTGAACTCCTTCTACATTTTACACAGTAGCCTAATCATCTTTTGGGAGATGGTTGGTGGTGTCATATAGATGTGCAGTAAGGTTTCTGAATTTAGATTTTGCCCCGGGGGGTCAAATTGGGGTGGAAAAATAACGTTTTTTATACAAAAAGCCCCGTTTTCCCTGAACTCCTCTTACATTTTACTCAGCAGCCTATTCATCTTTTGAGAGATGGTTGGTGGGGTCATGTAGATGTGCAGTAAGGTTTTGGAATTAAGATTTTGCCCTGGGGGGTCAAATGGGGGTCAAAAAATGACATTTTTTATGCAAAAAGCCCCGTCTTCCCTGAACTTCTCCTACATTTTACACAGTAGCCTAATCATCTGTTGGGAGATGGTTGGTGGTGTCAGGTAGATGTGCAGTAAGGTTTTGGAATTAAGATTTTGCCCTGGGGGGTCAAATGGGGGTCGAAAAATGACGTTTTTTGTGCAAAAAGCCCTGTCTTCCCTGAAGTCTTCCTTAATGTTACTCAGAAGCCTAATCATCTTTTAGGAGAGTTAAATATTTTGAAAATTATGTAAAACATCAACGTCAAGGGGTAAAAAAAGCATCACATGCTGGGAAACACCTTGAATTCTTATGAGTAATTAATGTATATGTCAAATGTGAGAGTCATATCTCATCTCAATCAAAAGTTATAAGCAAATGCAACATTTTTGAAAAGTAGAGGCTTGACCTCTTCAAGGTCAAGGTCACAGAGTAAAAGTCATGATTTATTTGGAAAGGTCTTATCACAGGTAATAATATACATGCATTATGATATGAATGCCCTAACTTTTCTCTTTCAAAATGATGAATTTATAACAATTTAATTTTTTTGCAAGTAGGTCAAACTTCTAGGTCACAGGTAAAAAAAAAAGATGTGTTTGTGAAACACTATGCGCCCGGTGGCAACAAAGTTCAAAAAATCTATTTTTAGCATATTGATCACAGTTAAGGTCACAAGGTCATTGACCATGGTGTCATTCGAAAGAACTTAATCAGTGGAGTATGCATACTAAATATGAAGTCCCTATCTCCTATGGTTCAAAAGTTATGGCAAAAAGTGTAAAGAGCTATTTTTAGCATATAGGTCACAGTCAAGATCACAAGATCATTGACCTTGCCGTCGTTTGAAAGGACTTTATCGATGGAGTATGCATACCAAATATGAAGTTCCTATCTCCTATGGTTAAAAAGTTATGACAAACAGTGGAAAAAGCTATTTTTAGCATATAGATCACAGTCAAGGTCACAAGGTCATTGACCTTGATGTCATTTGAAAGGACTTTATTACTGGAGTATGCATACCAAATATGAAGTCTCTATCTCTTATTGTTCAAAAGTTATGGCCAAGGTTAAAGTTGACAACAGACAGACAGACAAACAGACAAACAGATAAACAGACAAACAGACAAAAAGACAAACAGACAGGACAAAAACAATATACGCCCGGGATCTATCGATCCGGGCGCATAAAAAACCATGCCATTCTCACAGGTAAATACTAATACATATTAAGTTTAATATTCAGTAGATATGACCGTGATGACCAAGGTTAAATTTATTGAGACAGATGGACATTCTGACATACAAATATACATATTTCTATATGAATTGGGTAAAATTGGCCCAGTGGTTCTAGAGAAGTTAAAAATGTAAAAAGTTTTCAGACAAACAGATGGACGACACGTCACGACAGACATTATATGTTAAGGAAACCAGAAAAGCTCAAATGAGTGTTTTGAAAGGGTTAGAATATGGTTGCAGTATTTGAAAAGCTGTTTTTTTCATGCAGAGATATGCATGACCAACATATTCATGTTTTATATTTTCTTTAGTAATTTGTTTGTTTGTTGTGAATACATCTCTCTTGGGAATTTTTCCCTCATATGGAGACACCACCAAATAATAATGAAGACAAGATGTGTTTGTGAAACACTGATGTCCCTGTATGGAAGCCTATGGCGAAGGTTGAAGTTTCTCAAATATATGTCAAACTCAAAGTTCAAGGTCAAAGGGTTCAAATTGTTAGTATCAGAAGAAAGTCTTTTCACAAGGAATGCACATGTGAAATAAAGAAATCCCTAGTAATTCCTGTTCAAAAGTTAATTGCCAAGGTTAATTTTTTTTAAGTGGTTCAAACTCGAGAGTCAAGGTCAAACATATTTATACCTGTTGACAGTTCACAATGAATACACATGTTAAGCATGAAAGCCCTAGCACCTATTGATCAAAATTTAGGCCAAGTTTAAAGTTTGGTATTTTTCTTGTAAAAATGTGTATCCTAGGTCAAGCGATTTCAGGTAAAAATTAATGGTACCCAAATAAAAGGTCTTAATTGTCACAAGAAATAAACCTATAAAATGTAGAAGCCATTTGTATAGCCCATCCCACTTAAAACTTATGGGCAAGGTTATAATTTCTGCAGACAAATAGACAGACATAATATAAACACAAGAAACAAAATATGTATAATTAGTCAAATGGAAAAAAATATACTATTTAATTGGAATCACAAAATAGATTGTTATTTCAGGGACAGGGAGTGGGTAGGGAGATTGGAATCCCCCCATCCCCCCCCCCCCCCTGGAATTTGCTTTGTTATTTAAACAAGACTATATACTGAAGCAAATAAAAAATGACTTTGGACATCCTCCCCCTAACTGAGAAAACATTGACCACACTATCATTGTTTTTATTTTGTTTATTTGTTTTCAGTTTTTTTTTCTCCTGCTTGTCAGGAAATTCTGGGCTGGAAATTTTTTGACTGAGATGTGAACCCCTCTCCCTACTCCCGAAAAAAATTCTGGATCCGCACCAGTATTGGCAGTAACTGAATGTCACATCGACAATGGCAGATAACTTCACAATATGAAATTCGTATAGTGTGGCATGCGATGATCTTTGACCCTTTTTGAACTTTAACCTAATCGTTTGGGTTTATTTTACTCCCCACTATACTTAAACTTGTACTTACCGACTGCCATACATGTTTGTCTCGTCAACTTCATGAAATATAAATCCAATTATAACACAAAATGAATTAATCCAATGCACACCAGACTGCAGCCATTCGACAAACCTTCGTCGATTCCGTCACCTTATCAGATGAAGTGGGAATCAGCCGAGGTGTGCCAAATGGTGTTTAATCTAAAAATATGATAATGGGTGACGCAACGTGATGTGATGTAGAAATTTACATGTTAACATGTATAGTACAAGAACAAATTTTAAATTAATTCATAACAAACGATGTTTTAACAAAACTTTTCCATCTAGCCTATTCCAAACAGTATGTGCTGTGTGATTGTGGTGTCGACGGGGGGGGGGGGGGGGGGGGGGGGATTAATAAATTTAAAAAGGTCCTATTATGAGCAAAACATTTATCAAAATCTAATTTACATCATTAATAGAATTCAGACTGGTATATAATGAATTAAGCATGTAAAATAAATATAAGAGGTTCTGAGACTGAGTTATAGGTCACAGGGCCGGTCTGAGAATTTCATACTCAGTTTGATGAATACATGTAAATCATTGGTGTCGGAAGCAAATTCAAAGTGGGGGGGCTAGGTGTAAAAAAAATTTTTTATACCTTCTAAAAAAAACCTGACAAGCAAAAAAAAAACAAAAAAAAACGAAAACATCAATTTCCCAAACACGAAAATCCTATTTCGGGAGGGGGGGGTTGAATTCGAACTTCAGTACCAAAAATTTTTTTTCTATACACTACCTTTTTCCCATTTTTTACCTATACTGCCATGTGTCTGTGGAAAGTGGGGGGGGGGCTAAACCTATGAAGCAATGTTCAATATATGTTTGGAAAAAAAGCCCCGGCCCTAGCCCCCCCCCCCCCGGTTCCGACGCCTATGTAAATTATAGAATTATTTTGACTTTTTCCTTGGAAAACCGGCCAATATGTAGGAGCGTGTTTTAGAGGCAAACACCTTAGTGCGGGTATTACTGTCTCATGACAGCATCTAGTTATCATTTAAAATTAAAAAAATAAATGTATACATGTAACAGAATCATTTTCAAAACTTATATTTTAGATATAAGTAACATGGTGTTGATTATGAAAATCACAGGCGGCATTCTAGCATTATTCATCATATTCATTTCGGTTTTGGTCGTATGTTTGTACTGCAGTAAGAGGTCAAAAGGAAAGGAGAGCACTGTTTCTAAGAGGTACTTTATCGGATTTGAGCAGTAACTTGATAATTATGAAATAGTGAAAGAATATTAAAAGCCTTAACTTGGATATGCATTCAGGGATTTCGGTTTTTTATGCGCATCATTTCAATTTTTCTATCTGAAATGTTGCTGATTTGTGGAACCAGATTAGGAATACTTTCAATGCAGCATATTTATAATAAGGAATTACTGGATTTATACCTGATTTTTTGAAAATTAAAATGTTTATTTCACTAGCTTGGTGATATCAAGATCACTTTTGCAACCCTTTGGATCAGTAAGAATGTGTCAATACTTTTGACGGTATATATTAGCGTTCTGCTCATATTGCTGCCAAAAATATTTTTTCTTTGTTGCATGTTCTGTCTGCACGTATCGTCGCCGGCAGAAAAACGGATACACAAGTTAAAGGCAATAAGATGTACTCATCCTTACTGCATTTATTGTTGCCCCACAGCTACTATAATAAGAATTTATAAAAGTTTTCTGAATATATTGATTTTTTTGAAATACATAACCTTTGTATTAACAATACTTGGTTGATATGTCTTTAGAATGTAAAAAAATAAAATGTACCAGTAAACCTTTTTGCCTCCCGTTTTGTTTTAATGAATTTAAATTATGTTTGTTTTTCATTCCTATGAATAAATATATTTTAATCCATTTCCAATTAAAATTATGTTATGTATTAAAGTATGCATGATTCCGAACCGAGAGGAAGAGGGACTCCCAAAGACATTAATCTTCATTCAGACACCACAACAGACTATGATGTTATTAATCCCAAAAATGAGTATACCAACGAAAACGAATATCTAGAGTTGGCTGAAATTCCGTTACATTTTTACGGAAACACAAATAATAAAGGTCAGTCAATTAACCCAATACAGTGAGACAATCATTAAAATCGATAATTATCCACCAACAGGAAAAATCACTAAGAATCTTCAGCTTTAATTTTTTTTATACTATTTTTTTTGTCGATTTCAATTTTTTTCCATGTATTTGAATATTTGAATATTTTTAAATCCAATGTTGTAGCATAAAAAAAAAAAAGATTAATTAAGACTTCAATGGTGGTTGGTTTATTTTTAGGTCTTAGTTTATATGCCAATTCCTCAGTGACAAATGAATCTGTGTACGAAACGCCTTATAGCAGACAGGTTAACTTACTTTTTTCTATATTTTATTTGAAAGTTAAAAGTATGCCCTTAATCTATTCTTCAGAAACGATATGTAAAGATGTATTTTTTAAATTCTTTTTATTGAAAACTCTGAGATAATATGCTATGTCAATGTAATTTTTATAATAGATTCCAAGAATGCAGGGATTGAGTTACAATTCAGGAAAAGTTCGGGTACAGTTAATTACTGTCATATTTTTATATCGCATTATATTATCAATTATCATCTAAAATATACATTAATATATTTTTGTGTAATCAGAATATACATTAATTATTTTTATACAATCTACACTGTAGCCTTTATGAGTTAAAAAAAAATAATGTATAGAAACATCAAAACGTTTAACTTCATAAGCAATAAAAAGTAAGGAATCAAATTAAACACTCATTTGTAAATTCCGCATCAAAGGTACGATAAAATGATTTCTTCCCGTCAAAATTTCTATAGTGTATCAATATTGCAAGTATGTTTACAGTCACTTTATAGCTTATTGGATAGAACTTTCATTCTTGAGCCTAGAAGTATGGTCGAGGGTTTGAATCCCACTGCGGGAAGTTGAAAACCAAGTAAACTAAAGTCAAGTATCGGAGTTAATGTGCTCTAACGAAGAAGATCACTCACTGCTAAATAGCTCAGAGCATGAGTACCAAATAGATGACTTTAAAAGTTTGCAGTTTTACAGCTGTCTACTGTCTCAATGACTGAAAAATATCAAAGAACAGATAATCAAATAAACAAACCAACTAAACAATAGATTAGATACATAATAACTGCGAAACCCTCAAAGGCGTAGAAGAAGGGTGAACAAAATACCTACAGCTTCAAATGCTAGAAAAACAAAAGTTATTTGCAAATAAAATTTTTATCACGCCCAGACATAACTGTTAGCTTTGTTTGATTAACAGCAAATTCAATTGAAAAAGGTCCATTACACTTTACGGGAAAACCAAATTAATATACTTTGTAAAGATATAGAATATATACACTCTCTTAGAAACATCTAACTAAATGTGGTTCTTGAAATACAACAGCGGTTGGATCGGGTGTCATGGGAAAATTATCATTCCCTTCCGACCGAATCTAACATTATTTGTAAGTGTCAAGAAGTATCCTTTTAGGGCATCATTTTTTCAACACTACGCTTTACCGTTTATATCAAATTGCGCTTGTGATATAATTCTGCAAATAGACTTTAAATATATCTCGGGAAATAAGAATGGTGTGTCAAAAAATTGTATTTAGATATTGCAGTACATATCTTTGCTCCATGCTCTTGTTAACCAAACAATGAATATTTTTTATGCATACTTTGAGATTAATCCTTAAAAAATCGTGCAAAATGATCTTTTAACCTAAGTATTTGCATGAAGATAGCACGTGGTTTGACATATTTTTGAATACACATTTGAATTTAGATTTGTTGTGATATGCAAAATTTTATCTTTTAATTCTTCGAAATAGTATATACATTTGTGGATATCTTTTCCCCTACCCTTTTCTGTAAAAAACATACTTTGAGACATTGAAACAAGGCCATCCTTTTGGCGAAGTGATTTGAGTGTTTGTTTTATGGTCGCGAGGTAAGAAACTTATCCAACTGCGGGACACGGTGGCCGTTGAGTAGGCGCTATAACAAAAATCCCTCTTATAAATTGCTCTGACACCCCCTCCCCCCCTAAAAAAAAATGCAGCCTCCTCCTGGCATACGGCAAACTAAAGAACAGACACACACGGACACTGAAATAATTTCATTGAAATTCAATTCAATAGTGTTAAATAACAATTTCTTTAATGAGATGTGTACAATCTAAACGCCGACTAACAAAAAAATATTACAACTCTTCCATATATATTTTATTTTTTTTCTTACAGAGATATCAACGATATTGATCGGCGATGAATCAATATGAAGGCCGGGAAAAGCAAGCTTTGTTCAGTGAAGATAAAGACATCTTCAATATCTTTTTTTATTTTTTTTTTATTATTTTTTTTTTTACAAATCGTTACATTTATATTATTATACGATTAATTAAGTATCTAAATATTGTATTGTTAACAGCATGTACATGTACATATGTAGTTCTTTCGCTGTAAGGCCATAAAACATAAACAAGCTTACTTTTGGTCTTAGCTTTACCATTCCACGATAAAAATAAGACCGAAACCATAATGAGTTTTTGTCCTTATAACTCACCTTAGCCGAAGGCTCAAGTGAATTTTTCTGATCTAAATTTGTGAAATGTTTATCGTCGTTGCCTTTTCCCCCATTTTTTTTTTAAATGAATGTCCTTTCAAGAAGCATTTGCACAAGTTCATCCAGACTTGCCAAAAAGTATCCTTGGGTGAAAGGCATTTATGCTTGTTAAATTCAAGGGCTACGTTTCTTCCAATGGGAAATAATTGTTAATAGGTGAAAAATTAATGTCATTTAAAAAAATATTCTGGGTCAGGAAAGATGAAACTCATGTGGAATCATCCTCAGGTAGTGTAGATTTAATCACCCACCCATGGGTAGGATTGGACCACAATGAATGATCAAAGTTTTACATAGAAATATATTGGAAATATATTTTAAAAGCTTCTCAAAAACACTTGGCAGAGGACGATGAATCTTATGGAATCAATCCCAGGTGATTTAGGTTCAAAGTTTGTTTGAAAAATGACCCCGGGGTAGGGTAGGTCCAAAATGGAAAATCAAAAATTTGCATTGGTACATATAGAAAAACTCTAAAATTCTTCTTCTCAAGAACAGCAAAGTAATGATTGATTTTTAATTTTTATGAGACCATCTTTAGGTGAAGTATATTTAAGTTTGTTCAAATCATTACCCGCGAGTGAACGGTTGGGCCAAAATGGACGATATAATATATATAAAGAATCTTTATAAAATCTTCTCGAGAACCATTGGGCCAGGAAAGATGAAACTCATATGAAATCATCATCAAAAGTTAAATCAAATTAAGATTCCCTTGGGTAGGGTGGGTCTTCAATGGCCAAAAGTTTTACATAGGAATATATTGGAAATATCTTTAATCATCTTCTTCAAGAATAGCAAAACCAAGATTGGTCACATATATAGGAAAATATCCCCTGGTAGTGAAGATTCAAGTTTTTTATCAAATCATGACCTCCAGTGAAAGGGTGAGGCGACAATGGATGATGAAGATTTTACACATGAATACAGAGTAAATATCTTTAAAAATCTCCAATACAGGAAGGCTGTGATCGGTGATAAATAAATGGAAGCATCTCCATGGGTAAACTCGTTTGAAATCATCTCGAGAACAGCAAAGCCGTGATTTGTTATATTCATACATTTCAATACTAAACTGATTAATTTCTTGCTGTTTATAACCAATGAGCTCAGGTGAGAAATGTGGCTTCTTGACCTTTTGTTTATTTGGCCCTAGAGCCTGATCAATAAGTAACCTTAGTGGTCTTTTATTTGTACACTGCAGGAATCATCTTTTAGACAGATACGTGTATTTACTATAGATAACTTTTGTTAATAGCAACTATCACATATACTGTACTGTAATATGTTACTATCATATATACTGTAAAAAAACTTTGACACTTTTATTTACTGAAAACTTTACAACATTTTTCTCTTCATTTCGTTGATGGTGTTTAATTTGGACTTAATGTGTGATCATACAAGCCATTGTTTTATTTAATATTAAAAATGTACATTAATGAAACAATACTATACTATTCTCATCTTTTATGTAGAATGCAATTGTATATCGGTATAATTTATAAGCACCCTTAATATTAAACATAAAAACTTTCTAAGATTGTCGTATCTGTTATCAATTCTATAGCTCACTAGACAATGCACGTAAGTTTGAATATATGTCAAGTACGACGCCGACTTTTAAATTCAATTAGTACATCATTGAGTACACCTTTCGGAGTACAACACGAATAATAATGGATTACTATGCAATCTGGTAATGATGAAGTAGTTGAAAATGTTGGAGCATATAACTTCACTGTATAATTATGTGAATATGATTAAATTTTTGAAAATAATATGCAGAGACATTTTCACAAAATGTTGATTTGAAATTGCATTCCTACACACCGATATATGCAGGCTAGGTTCTGTGATTATGAATATTGCAAGTTATTAGCTTTTGAAGCAGCTACGTTTTTTGAAAGTAAATACTGCTCAAACAACCTGCTTCTCCTTAAACTTTCATATGCTCACGAATGAATCGACGGAAACAATAAAAGTAATATTTTCATTTTGTTTTTATCCCAATATCAAGTTTAAGTCCATATACTTTATTTCTAACAAATATAAATCGATTATTGCTTCCACATTTCAAAGTATAAATGATACAAAAAAAAAAAAATGGATGCCTGGATTAATATAAATTTTCGACCTATTTTGGTTGCAAATGATACGAATAATGAATGCATGTATTCAAAATATTATTAGTAGATTAGGCCAGACGATGGACCAGACAGGAACAAGAAGACCATGACACTTTGATTTGTCAGAATGGATAAAATGTGCGCATAAAGTGATTGAGGGGCAATATGAAAACCATCTATCATTTTATATTCAATTCTATACTGAGGTGAAAAAAAAGAATCAGATAGAATACACGATCATACCCACTGGTTCCAGCTGACAAAGTAGGTATCAACGTTGTATTTGTTTTGGTAAGGGTTATCATATATAACGTATCTCTGATGAATTTTGATTCTACAAGTCGTTATCCAACCCATACTTATAGTTCCCTTTCTGAGGAGAACATTCTTCAAAATCATGTGTCAGATTTTAATATTTTAATATTCCAAACAATCAAAATGAATTTGAACTACCATGTCTATATTAGAATCCGAAACTTTATAAAAATCCTTACGAACAAAGATACATACATAGCGGATGAGTACATGTTCTAATAGAGGGAGAAACTCCAAGAGTGCTGTTCACCAATATATTCGAGAAGAGGTGTAAATAAAATATGGATACTAAATAATACCAAGGAACTTTTCAAACAATTTAAATCACAAAATGTTACCACAACATAAATAACTACGATATTTTTATATACAATTATTCTCCACGATTTATTAAAGTCCATGTTTTCTGACATCATTGAAGATGGTTTTTTTTCCAATAAAAATGGAACTTGTAAATTTACTAAGCTTGTCATTGGTCATTTGCAGAATTACTAGCACTTCTTTACTTCAGTAATCTGAAGCTGATATTCAAAAGATGCTCTAGTTTCTGATTGACAATATCTATCTGATATTTAGATCAGATCATCCAACAATCAGTTGGAATTCCCGTTGGTACCAATTGCGCTCCGTTATTAGCACTGAAATTTAAATGTGGTAGAATCTGTTCGAAATCTTTTACGTAATATGAAGAACATACTTGCTTTGGCCTTCAACTGGACTTATACATGTATCAAAGACGTATTGTAAATTAACAATATTTATTTCCATTATTATGTAAACAAGATATAACCCAGTGAGCTTGAAATAGGATACCACAGAGAGACTGACCCATTTGTTTCTTTATAAGATCTTTTAATCGAAAAAAAGATATTTATGGTATTCTTAAATCAAAGCTCCATGATAAACGTGATGACTTTTATTTTTCAATCGTCAACTTTCCTTACGTATACAGCAATATACCTCTGTCACGTCATATGGGGGGTTTATATCTCTCAGTTGAGTCGCCCGCGTAGCGCAGTGGTTAGAGCGTTTGCTCTAGAGTCGCGAATTAAGGAGTAAATCCTTACGTCACGGGTTCGAATCCCAGTGTGGGACGTGGAGACCGTATAAACCAAGGTCCCGTATCGCAGTAGGTGCTGGCACGAAAAAGACCCCTCCCTGCTCAATGGCCCTAAGTGCCGAGTATAGGACAAAATTTGCAGCTCTCCACCGGCAAATGGTGGCGTCTCTATATGAGTGAAAAATTCTCGAGAGGGACGTTTAACAATATAAAATCAATCAATCAATCAATCTCTCAGTTGATTCGATAAGGGAAATCATGTTCTACATATGAACAATTTCTGTAACGAGGTAAGTTATTGACAAACAATTCGAAATAGTAAAAATATCAGGAGTCTCGTTAAAATTTATCATTTCGTCAGTTCTATGGTCGATACAATGACATTGTCAGCAAACACAATTTATCATTAAATATTTACAATTCCAATGTCTTTGTCCGAAATAAAATTACCAATTGTAAATGTAATTGATTTCCTCATGAATGTTTTGGCGCGGTTCCAAAAAAACCACGTGCAGGGCGGGACAACACCTAGAGAGAAGCAGGCTTGGAGCCCGTGGATTGGCGGAATCAAAGCATGTAAATATAAGGAATAACTGTCAGATTTTTCGAATTCATAAAGATGATCAATGGATTGGCTTGTGTGATAATTTTATGCATAAACGCCTTCGGCTTTTATGCAGATTATCACACAAGCCAATCCTTTGATCACTTCATGAATTCGAAAAATAAGACAGTTATTCTTTAAATCAAATGCTGACTGACTTTCTGCATGCTGATTGTTAGGTCATTATTTATACATTTAGTTAACGTTGGCCATGGCTTTTTTTCTCGTTATATCCCGATCATGACAAGGAACACACGGTTGGTGTGATGGTTTTTAGTTGATACGTTACACTAGAACATGCTTAACATAAGAACAATTTTATAACAAGATTAGTTGCTGACAATAAAGAAGAAGGTTCAGTTTGGGCTGTATTGTGCCTAAAAAAATTAAATGTTCTTTTTAATGAAATGGCTTTAACAAGAGTTGAGTAGATGAATATGATAAATCTTTAAATACTAGTAATATGGCATGAAGGTGGACCGTTCACGAATTATGACGTCATTAATTTGGTACATTTCTAAGTTTAATGCAGAAAAGCCTCAAAATGACTCATTTCTGTGCTAATTTTCCTTTAAGAAATAGTATCTGCCACCATCACCCACTTCAA